CAAATCTCACACTCACTCAAAAAAACAATTTACCTTCTAATTAGTCACCATAGCAACCACAAAACTCTTCTCGTTACCATCTATAAACTAATATATAATAAATAAATTATTTAACAAAAAATACGATACGCATAAGCACATAATATTTTACACTCTGGTTACTTCAGTTTCCGGTTTTAAAAGCGCTATATGTTTAGTCACCTCAACTAGATTTGGCATGTGACATTTTTAGCGGCAATCATTGGTCGATTTTCTAGCGTTGCCATTCGGGGAGTTGTAATAAGGCTTTTTTTGTCGCCGTGTAAGAGAAATATGTATATAGATGTTAAGCTGTTATATCTCACAAGCTATTATATCTATTAAGCTGTTTTGTTGTTGTTTTTTTTTTGTTTTTTTTTTCGTTTTTTTCACATCAGTTTTTTCTTTTTGCCTTTTGTTACTTTAGACTTCAACACAAACGCAAGAATATAAAATTACTAAGAAAGATAAATAAGAAAGATAAATAAGACTCTCAATAACTATGGTTCCATTGTGCTTTTTTAAAACAAAAGAAGTTCGAAAAAGTTTGCTATAAAAACACTTAAAATTGCGATAACGTTCAAACAAACTTGAATTCCAAAAAAATAATGATATGTTTATAAATAAAACTAGAACTTTCAGCAAATCAAATTTCATGTCCAACCTGCTGGAATGCAACTTAACTAAATTGTTAACAGCTTGAACTGTTATTATTGAACTTCCTGTTATTCTTGAACTAATTACTCAATTTTAAATTTTATTCCACCTCACTAGTTATATATTTTTGTAGAGCCCTTTGCAAATTCAAGTTTAAAGTTAATTTCGTTTTTTAAGTTACATCTCTTTTTTGCGCTGCAAAAAAAGATGTAAAGTGAAGTCTGACACCCAAAACAACTACGGTGGGGCTCACGGTTTTTTAATATGGAAAGAAATAAGTATCATAGCAAAATTCATCAATCAGTATTTTTTAAAAATCAAAAAATATTTTTAAATTTTTGTTATCAGCAACATCTAACATTTTTATTTTCTACAATAGCTACCGTGTATCTGAAATCAAATTAATGTAAGTTGCTGCATATCTATTTTAAACCATCTAATTTCCTTTACCGCTCCAGTCGTATACGTATGTTCTCAATCATCATAGCAAAAGACGACTCTGATTTTCTAATACTGAACAATCGAACAGTTTTTTTTTAACCGAAATTGTAATGGTACATTTATTTTATCAATAATACGCAAAAAACACAAGAGCTTTTTTATTAAATCTAAATAGTTAATTCACTTTGTCAAAATTGCGTAAAATATACAAAAGTATTCTCACCGAAATAAAATGGTAAATTTATTTTGTCAATGTTATATACAATATGCGGAAGCTTTTTGCCAAAATCTAAATGCTAAAATATACATCAACATTATGACGTAAAATGCGCGTCAACTTTCTTACCAAAATTTAAAGGGTAAACTGGCTACTCCAATAATACATGGCATACACAGATACATTTTTACTAAATCTAAATAGTAAATTCACTTCGTCAATAATACGCACAGTATATCAAAATATTTGTACCATAATAAAATTTTAAATTTATTTTATAAATGTTACATACAATATACGGAAGCTTTTTACCGAAGTTTAAATGGTTACGTCAGCATTTACACGCAAAATATAAGAAAACTTTCTTATCAAAATTTAAATGGTAAACTTTCTTCGTCATTAATACTTAGAATACACAGAAGCATTTTTACTAAATGTAAATAGTAAATTTCTGTGTCATTCTTTCTTAAAATGTACGAAACAGTCTTACCAAAAGTAGTTGCTAAATCCATTCCGTTAACGTTACGTAAAATGTATTAAAACTTTTTTGCCAACTATCTCAAAGGAAGTATCATTCCGTCAGTATTACGTAAAATATACTTATAAAGAGTATTGACTTTACCGATTTCCAAACAATTTGAGTTTATTTTACGTATTATTTTAATAAATGTTTGTTCATGCATTAAAATTTTTATTTTGTTTACGTATTTGTATTGTAGTATAATTTTGTGCAGATATAAACAAACAGAATGCTCATGAATAAATTTAGACATAAAAGATTTATATTAATTGAAATATAATGTAAAACTCAAATTACTAAATAAATTTTAACTAAAAACATTTTGGGTAACAAATTGCTTTGCTTAATTAAACGTTTAAATTGCGATTAAATTGTTTGTTNGTAAGTTATAATGAAAGACATTTTTAGCGGCAATCATTGGTCGATTTTCTAGCGTTGCCATTCGGGGAGTTGTAACAAGGATTTTTTTGTCGCCGTGTAAGAGAAATATGTATATAGATGTTAAGCTGTTATATCTCACAAGCTATTATATCTATTAAGCTGTTTTGTTCTTGTTTTTTTGCTTTTTTTCGTTTTTTTCACATCAGTTTTTTCTTTTTGCCTTTTGTTACTTTCGATTTCAACTCAAACGCAAGAATATAAAATTACTAAGAAAGATAAATAAGACTCTCAATAACCATGGTTCCATTGTGCTTTTTTAAAGCAAAAAAAGTCCGAAAAAGTTTGCTATAAAAACATTTAAAATTGCGATAACGTTCAAATAAACTTGAATTCCAAAAAAAATAATGATATGTTTATAAATAAAACTAGAACTTTCAGCATATCCAACCTGCTGGAATGTAGCTAAACTAAAATGTTAACAGTTTGAACTGTTAATATCGAGCTTCTTGTTATTCTTGAACTAATTACTCAATTTTAAATTCTATTCCACCTCACTGGTTGTATATTTTTGTATAGCCCTTTGTTAATTCAAGTTTAAAGTTAATTTCGTTTTTTAAGTTACATCTCTTTTTTGCACAGCAAAACAAGGTGTAAAGTAAAGTCTAACACCCAAAACAACTACGGTGTGGCTCACGGTTTTTTAATATAGAAAGAAATAAGTATTGTAAAAGAAATAAGTATCATAGCAAAATTCATCAATCAGTATTTTTTAAAAATTAAAAAGTATTTTTAAATTTTTATTATCAGTAGCATCTAACATTTTTATTCTTTACAATAGCTACCGTGTATCTGAAATCAAGTTAATGTAAGCTGCTGCATATCCATTTTAAACCATCTAATTTCTTTTACCTCTCCAGTCGTATACGTCTGTTCTCAATCATCATAGCAAAGGCCGACTCTGATTTTCTAATACTGAACAATACAAAAACTTTTTTACCAAACTTTTAATGGTAAATTTGTTTTATCAATGATACGTAAAATGCACAGAAGCATTTTTATTAAATCTTAATAGTTAATTCGCTTTGTCAAAATTACGGAAAATATACTAAAATATTCTTAGCGAAATAAAATGGTAAATTTATTTTGTCAATATTATATACAATCTATGGAAGCTTTTTGCCAAAATCTAAATGCTAAAATATACATTGACATTATGACGTAAAATGTGCGTCAACTTTCTTACCGAAATTTAAAGGGTAAACTGGCTACTCCAATAATACATGCCATGCACAGATACATTTTTACTTAATCTAAATAGTAAATTCACTTCGTCAATAATACGTACAGTATATCAGAATATTTTTACCATAATAAAATTGCAAATTTATTTTGTAAATATGACATACAATATACGGAAGCTTCTTACCGAAGTTTAAATGGTTACGTCAGCATTTACAAGTAAAATATTCGAAAACCTTCTAATCAAAATTTAAATGGTAAACTTTCTTCGTCATTAATACGTAGAATACACAGAAGCATTTTTACTAAATGTAAATAGTAAATTTCTGTGTCATTCTTTCTTAAAATGTACGAAACAGTCTTACCAAAAGTAGTTGCTAAATCCATTCCGTTAACGTTACGTAAAATGTATTAAAACTTTTTTGCCAACTATCTCAAAGGAAGTATCATTCCGTCAGTATTACGTAAAATATACTTATAAAGAGTATTGACTTTACCGATTTCCAAACAATTTGAGTTTATTTTACGTATTATTTTAATAAATGTTTGTTCATGCATTAAAATTTTTATTTTGTTTACGTATTTGTATTGTAGTATAATTTTGTGCAGATATAAACAAACAGAATGCTCATGAATAAATTTAGACATAAAAGATTTATATTAATTGAAATATAATGTAAAACTCAAATTACTAAATAAATTTTAACTAAAAACATTTTGGGTAACAAATTGCTTTGCTTAATTAAACGTTTAAATTGCGATTAAATTGTTTGTTTTACATATTATTTATAATAAACAGTTATCAATCACAGCGTAGATTAACATTCCAGATTATTGACAGAGAACTTAATGCATATATTATCTCGGCAGTTTTATTCATCATAACGTTTATAAAATGTTAAAATATCCTATTGATATATATTTATATAAAAAAACATATTTACTTTAAATATTGAACATTTTAATTTTAATTTTTACCTACACTGCTATTATTACGTATATGATTTTGATTGTTTTCGAAATTACGAGTTAGAAACTAAAAGAATTGTTTTTTGTTTTGTAGACTGCATTTTAAGACAAAGTTACTTAAATCGGAGTCTAATCTTACTAGCCACTTTACATATATTATTTCTTGTGTAAAATTACATTAATATAAAGGATATTTCTTAAATTATTCAGAACTTAACAATCAGCTTCATGCGCAATGCGATGCATACGCAAAAATTTTATTTAATACATCAGTCCATTTGGTAAGCGAAAATATTAAATTACGGTTGTAAACTCACTAAATTTGCTATACTTTTAATTTTAAATGTTATTTAAATGAATGATTACTTAGAAAAATAGTATGCTTACTAATGGGTCTTAATAAAATCATAAGGGAAATACACTACTTTACAATAATGGACTTCCTTTGATACTGTTTTAAATTTCTCAAGAAATACTTAAAGATTATTTTCAATTTTAGAGATGTTTATTTTATGCTATTTTTCAAACTTAGCGGTAAGATTTAAAACTTTCAGAGGTTTAGGAGACCTACAATGAATAACGAAAGAAAACAAGTATTTTTAAACACCCATTGTCAGAAAATCAAACAATAAGATTGTAACTTGTATCGATTACTTAAGTTGTAATTTTTAATAACTAACTACATGAAATTTCGTAAATCTAATACACATATTTATAGAGATATGGACATTTTTATTAAAAGAATAATTTTTTTGTCTTACATTTTTGGCTATAACTTTAAAAAGACTTAATGGAATTAAACAAAATCTTTGTAGCAGTTCAAAATTAATTACGAGATTATTGATTTAAAATTTTAAAAAAAATCATTCAAAACTGTGCAAGATGTGAGTATTTAAAGTAGTTCTTTTATTCTGCGCATGAGCATAAAAAAATTTATTTTTTTCCTTTATAATTTTGAATTAAATCGTATTTGGCAAGTAATGAAAAGGTTGGATTTTAATATCTTAATAATTTAAATAAATAAATAATTTTCTAAGTAATTTTCGCACTGTTTAAGAGAAAGCTCAAAATGATTAGGGGTTTGCCACAAATTTCATTTTGTACTACTAAACAAGATTTATCAAAAATGAAACCATGTGGGGAACATCTCTCATAAAAATATGTTTTCTTTCACGTGTTTTCTTCCTTTATACCATCACATTTTTTGTTTCCGGACGATTATTGTAAGGTATTATCATCTCTTATTAAATTTTGTCTAATGATACAAAAGAAATTTTTGTAGAAAATCCCGGATCGTTTTGCGCTTCCTTTTTAAGAAGTACAAAAACTACTTGGAAAATTGTTTGTAACTTTTACAATTTTTAAGATAATCAAATCAAACTTTTTTCACTAGTTACCATATGTGATTCACTACAAAATTATGAAAAAACTTTTTGAATTTTTACTACGATTGCGTAGTTTAAAAGAATTATCTTTAATGCTTACATCATGCGCTGTTTTTAACGATTTTTTTTTAAAAATCTTAAATCAATAATTTCAAAATTAATTTTAAATTGTTCAAAAAGTTTTGTTTATTTCCATTGGGTACTTTTAAAGTTATAACAAAAAACACAAGGCTAAAATTTTTTTTTATAAAAATGCCCATATCTTCCAATATTTACGTTAGGTTTACGAAATTATATGCAGTTATTTAAAATAACAAAATAAGTAATCGATACAAATTGCAAGCTTATTACTTGATTTTCTGGCATAAAGTGTTCAAAAATGCTTTTTTCGTTCGCAATTTATTGTTGGACTTGCAAACCTCTGTAAGCTGTAAATCACATTGCTAAGTATGAAAATTCGCATGAAGTAAACACCTCTAAACTTATCAAATAATACTTTTTATAGAATTTATTGAAATAAATGTAAAAAACTGAAAGTAAATCTTCTATTATTATAGGGTTGGACAAGCATAATCAAGCATAATTCTTATTAGTACATAATATAAGTTAATAATTTCAACTATCCTTAAAATAAATATCCCATGAAACAACATGGGTCTTATCCCCTTAGTATTTTAAAAAAATGCGCAATCAATATTAAATTCAAAGTCTATTTAATTCCAATGGTTTAATTCTTAAACAGACTTACAGATTTTTTTAATTATTTGGTGGCATATATTCAATATATNCCCATGAAACAACAGGGGTCTTATCCCTTTAGTATCTTAAAAAATGCGCAATCAATATTAAATTCAAAGTCTATTTAATTCCAATGGTTTAATTCTTAAACAGACTTACAGATTTTTTTAATTATTTGGTGGCATATATTCAAGATATTGCAAGTTAATTTTTTTAATCGAAGAAAAATAATAAAATTATTGGCTAGACAGTATAAGATTCTTAAAAATGTCAATATGGAGTCTTTAATTTTAATCAAATAATGTTTTAATCAAATGATTTATTTTAATCAAATGATGTTTTAGAAATGTTTTCAGTAATATTGTTAATATTCAGTGTCAATAAAATCGACCGGATGATGAAATATCCTATTACTGAAACTGAATTCAAATAATTCTTAACTTTAAACAAATTTATAGCTATTTTTTTTTACGGAATCAAACCATTATAAGGCTTTAATTCAAATCACTAATAAACTATGAATTTTAATATTAAATAGCTAAGAAAAAATTTAAAATTTGTTAATAAAATTGACCTAATGTTTAAATATTCTATTAAAATAAGGTTATTGATGCCAAATTCAAATCAGTTTTAATTTTAAACAAATTTATAGTTAAGGACATTATTAGGTTTTAATTCAAATCAACAATAAATTATGAGCTTTCATGTTAAATAACTAAGAAGAAATAAAAATAAAAAAACTGCTAAATAATATACAATATTCAACTGATCAGCTAAAATATTTCAGATTATTAAATACTGTTCAAATTGTCAGATTTTATATAATAAAAGTATCGGTTAAATATTAAACTCAGTAAAATATTAAATATTGCTCTTTTCTATAATACTTTTCTAATATAATTTCGTTTCATCTAGATTAAATGATGAAATCCTAGATTGTCTTACATGAAGTTTTAAAACTATTTAAGAGTCCATATTCCTCTAAACAATTTTCTTAAAAAAAAAACTAATATAAAAATACGAATGTTCATTTTTTTTAATACTCACGTGGCGTGATGGTAAAAAGCGGCCAATGTTATTGCCAGTTATAATTAGGCAGAACGCGTCACCGAAAACGTCGGTTCCTGACCTCCGTTTATCTTCTTGTATTGACACTTTCTTTTTTACATGGGCTGGAATGGATACTGGCACTAAGGGTGGAGGAACACTTGCAGGAAGTACAGGCGCACTTTCAGGCAATGCTTTCGGGAGGTCTTCTAGTCCATTTTTTGGTGATTTCACTGGTGGTTTGGGGGCCTTGGGTGGAGGTGGCGGCAATGGGGACGGCGGTGGTGTTATTTCTGTTTTTGGAAGAATTGCATTAGGAGGCTGAAGGGTTGTTGGCCCTGGTGCAGAAGCTGGAGGTGCAAAGGTTTCAATAGTGGCTGATAATGGCCTTTTAGTCTTTTTCTCAGACATTGGCTTCCCATCGCTAGTCACACTTCTTTCGCGTTCTGGGTGATTAGGGATAGCTAGCGTCGGTGTCCTGGTAAAACCCTCTTTACGAATACTTTTCTGGGTACTCGGTGAATTAGTTGGACGCTTCATTAATTTTTTAATAGATCGCCCAAAATCAACCTTTGATTCTTCTGCAGGTTTTGGTTGAGGTTCAAATTCTCTTCGCGCTGTTTCCAAGTTTGGACGATAAGCGTTCATAAAATCCTCGAATTCGGACCTTTCGGTGGCTAAGGGTATAGTACTCCCAGCTCCCGACGGTCCGGCTCGTTTCATCGATATGTCTGTCGGTTGGTATTTTACAGATAAACTTTTTGGATTGCGTATCGAAATGTCTCTTCGACAGTTAACTGCACCACTGCTATTTGGAGACATACACTGTATGTGAGTAATAATACAGCAGAAAAACAAGCTTTCATTTAAAATAGCTCAAAGCACCACACATATATACAAACTGAATAAATAATAAAAATTAATGCACACGTTCATCTTTTTCGTCGGCGATAAAATTTTTGTAATTTGGTTAAAGGTTTGAAGCTTTCACTAGTCATCTCTTCAGAATATTTATAGTGCAGAAAACACTAATAGTAATAATGCATTTGTTAACAACGCTCTGTAGTATCCTGATACACTTAGACCTTTACTTGGAATTTCACATGCTTGTTCACAATTGCGTTCGATCGAACTATAAATCCATTGATTAATCCTTGACTCTGCAACACCATTGAGAATATACTTGCAGATGTTTTAAGAGCACAAAGAATGATGGAATGCTTTATTACCAGAAATTAAAAATGAGTGTCGTACACACTTATTTCAGGAACTAATTTCGAAGAATCTATCTCATCGCTGGATATGTTTGTAGGTAAAATTGATCTTAAGCCAAGATTTAAGAACATAGACTCCATAGGTAGTTTTCATCCACGCATGGCATCATCGGGAAAATTTTGACACAGGCAGGCGAGACACCGACATCAATACAGGGCTTAACCACCACCGCCAGATGCAGAAACCCTTTTTCTTATTTCAAATGCATCAAGGAATGGATCGGGGACCTGGCGTCGAATTTAGTTACCAAAATTCAGCCCACGGAAGAGAAAGGATATTTTTGATGTCGTTCTAAATATATTTTCACACGCTTTGGCCTGTCTCCAGAGGAACAGGACTTTTCCCTTCGCCTTTTTTTTATTTTATTTATTCTGATTTCCCTTTCTCTTTGTTGCTTGCATTTTAAGCTGTTGAATGGACTTTTGGATTGTCTTCGGAAAAAGATACAATGGGATTGGAAATTGGGTGCGCTGGCGCTTTTGTTTGTGTATTGGATACCCTTTTTTCTCTCGCCAAGCATGCGAAGCGCTGGGTGATATATATTTGGATGAGTGAAGCTCGTGGCAGAGAATGAAGTAGAGATTTGCATTCTGTTCTAAGTAGAAGTTGATATCAGTTTCTGTTAAAAGTATTGAGGAAAAGATAACATAAACATAATATCGTACATGTCATATTTTTAATGTTAATGTATTAGATTATTAAGTTTTAAAAATTCTAAAAATTAAAAGCCTGTCTCCCTTTCGAAAAATTAAATATTCGACATTAAAACTTAAATGTATTTATTGCAACATATAAAAAAATTTAATGAATTTTTTAACTTTAGATTATTAGGTTACTTTTCGAAATTTTAGAAAAGAATTGTTACAGCAATAAATATTGTTTGAAACAACAACAAAATTTTAACAAAATAAAACTTTTTTTTTAAGTAATGTGAAATTTGGTTATTCTTAACAGCAATTCATAACGCAATCAAGAACATTATTTCAGGTCAATTCCTCATTATTTAATATTCAGGAATTGACCATTTAAAAAATGATCAATTTTATTTTAATGCTTTTTAAGTTTTTAAATGACGTTTGTAAGTTAAAAATTATAATTTTATAAATTCACATTATTTCTATAAATAACGGCAACACAAAAAAATTCGTAAAAACTTGAGTTTATCGAAGTTATTAGATACTTTCAGCTGTTTTTATAAAAAAAAATATTTAGATAATTTTTTACACTGATGACTTATAACTATAAATCGAGAATTTAATTTGACGTAGTAAAAAAAGTATTTAAATGAAAAACATTTGAAAGAAAGCAAAGTAATTTTGCTTTTTTAGTAAAAGAACATTAAGTCATTTTGTAAAAGTAATCGTACAAAAAAAAAAGTTTGTTGCTTATTGTAAATTTAAGTACATGTTCTAATATAAAGGACTTATACATCATGTTTTGAAAAGTATATGTTAGGCACTTTTTAGAAAGTTTACGAAATATTAAAATGTCAAAAATAATTATACTAAAATACAAAGATATATTTTGTTTCGCATTTCAAAATATTCCTCTGATGTTCTAAAAAAAATATGAGTTTAAATTTATGACATTTCAGTTCATTTTTTTTAATATACGGAAATTCGCCACAAATCTCCTTGAAAAATGTGAAATCGTAGCAAATTTGTGTAAAAAAACAATTTTAAATAGTGTTTTCGACATTTTCTGATAACGGATGAAATACTAAGATTCACGAGCTTTCTTCATAATTTTTATTTCTCTTAACTGAACATTAGGGAATAAGTTCAATTAGTTTAAATCAAAATTAAAATTAAATGACATTTCTAAAAACAATAAAGTTTTTTATGTTTAAGTAATGAAACACTTACTGAAAAAATTACGCTTTGTCATTGTCACCGTATGTATTTTATAAAGAATCCTTATTAAGACAGAGACAAATGTAAAGGGTAAAAATGTAACTGTTCCAAGAGAAGCCTTTGAAATGTTAAATATTTCCTGACTTTATTGTTGCTCATACCCGCAACTGCAAACTTGAGATAATGGCCTCCCCGTAAGTCTTAGAATTTCTTTTATACATTAATTAATATCAAAATACATTTTAATTTTTTCCATATTATTTGCTTGTTAAATAGATATGATACCCCTTTTTTTAAATAATATGAAGGTTTCCATGCTAATGCAAATACAAAGCTGATTTTGGCTGGTTTTATTTATTTTTTTAAAAGCACATGTTTAAGAAGTGTAATTTAAGAAAAGTTTTCGAAAAATGTTTATAGATATAATTTTATGCTAGCACTTTATACTGATTGAAGTGATAATTGTTTTTACCTTCTCCTAATGAAGCAAACCTGAAAGAATGACGTCGCTATAAGCTTTAGAAAATATTTATATCTTAATAAATATGAAAATATATTTGAATTTTTTCAATACCTATTCCTTGTTATTAGATGATATTTAATACATTTTTCTTAAAAGAAATTTGAAAGCGTTGAAACAAATGCCTAATTAATGTTTTTTTTTTCACAAGAATTACTTAAAAGAATTACAAGAATTTGTTGTTACTTTTTTAAAATTTTTTTAAAATATATTTATTTACTGATACTTTATACTGATCAACCTGATAACTGGTTTTTACTGGCCTCCAATGCTAAAAATCTAATCTTAAGGTGTCCTCCTAAGTTTTTAAAAAATATATTATGCTTTAATAGTATTCCAATTATAATTTTAATTCTCTATTCATTGCTTAGTTGGGTAAAGATCATGCATTTTATACAAAATAAATTATCATATAATAAAATAAATTAGATTATTTTTGCTCAAATTTCTTTTTTTATAACACAATTAGCAGACTCCTGTTAATTGTAGTTAAATAAATTATTTTGAAACATTTTTTTTTATTTATATACTTAAACCTTTATACGACTATTTTTCATTTGACCCCAATGACAAAGTTGACATCAAAATAGGAACGCACATAGCGAATAAGGAGTAAAATTTTGAATAACAAAAAATTACAAATTTTTAAAACTGAAGCAATAATAGTAAATTTTAAAAGCTGTTAATACTTTAAAAAGATGGTCTAGTAATTTTATCTGCGACTTTATTTTGATTAAAACTCTCCTTTGATATTCACAAAATTAATTTTCAATGTTTAAATCATTTAAATAAAATAAAAAATAAGCTAAATGTATATATTTAGTTTAGACATGTAAGTAGGCCAGTGAGCCGGCTCGTTAGGCGAGCTCACTGGCATTCACATTGGGCTCGTGCTCGTGAGGTTGTGAGCTCGAATTCTGCCGGCCGAAGAATCTCCATGCATTAAATTGTGATTGGTGCACGTTAAACCTGTCAGGGTGACAAAGTCGTCCAAGTTCCCATACCAAATCACTATCTCTGGGGGTACTGAATCGGAGATTGATAGTTCTCTGGACAATGTCAAAATTGCGATATGTGGATGAATGAATGTTGTATGAATGAGTCCTCCTTGTATAACGGGCTGTGATGTATGTAGAGGGATGAAGTCGAATTCTTGGTCATAAATGGTGCCACTGAAAAACAAGAAGCGCACCCTTTACCTTAGATTTGCTTGGATTCCCCTAGTAAACCTACCGGTATTGCCAAGTGGCATTAGTAACAGCAAAAGTAACAAGTAGACAGTTTTTACAAGCGCTTTTGAGTTGGTAAATAAAGTGTAATTGTCCCTTTACGAAATTTATTTGATGTAAAATTCTTGCTTCTGGCAATTAAGACGCAGGAATACTTATTTCAATAAAATACATTTGGCGAGCATCTACTCAATGGTTAAGACTTTTGAGCCATCACCGTGCAGAACTAGGGCTCTATCTTTGATGGAGACTTGAAGTCTATTTAGCTTCTGATCGACAAGTTCTATCCGGGAAGTTAAAGGGATTGATGCGTAGTGCTGACCACTACGCCTTCATCATACGATTGATTTCAAAATTGGGTACCTTCCACCTTCATAAACCCTTTGAGTTGGGATATTTGACTGCTGCAGGAGTGCTTTACTTTTAAGGAAATTTTTCTTTAAATTTTTTGCAGTTTTGCTTCCTTATAAAACTATTTATAATAAAATTATTAAGTTATTAATTCCTTACGAAGTTATTAATTATTGTTTATTAGCGAAATTTACTTGATTGAATTTTGCAAATACATTTAATAAATTCATAAAACAGATTTTGAATATGTAATGAAAATTTATAAAATAAAATAAAAATTTCTTGGATTTTCTGTAATTGATGGAGTTTCCAACTTTAAACTAAAAATCATTGATTACATAAATTTAGCAAATCTTGACTGTTGGATAAAATTAATACGTTAGACGTATCGCTATTTCTCGGTATTAAATATGGTAAGAACCGACTCTGCCGCTGTTCAGGTTGCTCAACTAAAATGTTAAATTCAATTTTGCTGCGCAAAAACTACAATACTTTTAACTCGAAATTACGAAATTGTGTTGAAAAATACTCGCACAATAAACCAAAAATATTTTACATTTGGTATTTTGTTCAGGAATGACTAAGTGTTAAACTTGTTTAAAAGATAATATACGGATCGCACTAGAGGCCCAGGAATGCAACTGCATTGCAAAAAAAAAAAAAAAAAAAAAAAAAAAAAAAAAAAAAAAAAAATTNAAAAAAAAAAAAAAAAAAAAAAAAAAAAAAAACTTTATCAAATTATCGGCATTTAGAGTGTCGGTACTTTTTACCGTAAAATGTTATGGAAATTTATACCTTATTTTTACAGTAATATTTATTGTAAAATCACTGAGTAACTGTAGTTGAATAATTATAACTTACGATTTATAACTTACGAATTATAACTTATATACTATAAATATAAGGTATAATATTTTATGGTAAAATTAATTTTATGCATGACACACTCAGGTGCCGGTATTTTCTACCGTTATTCGATCTGGAATTTTTTACGGTGTACAGAGTTGAAGTCTGAGATGATACAAGTCCCATTTTTATGTAGGAACTTAATACGTTTTTTTCCGAACGTCTTATATAGTATTGCAATTCTAAGTATTTAATTTGGGAATTTTTAGATACATTTTTTTCTTTACGAAACATTTTTTTTGTACAAAAACTATTAGAGTTAGAAGCTGAAAATTAAGAGGGTATGTAATCAAATGCATAAGGAGTGCGGGGGAATAAAACAAATTTAAGATTCGATTATTATTCCAAGGATTATCAATTGTTAAACTTGCAATAAAAAAACATGTTTCAAATGCTATGACAGAGATGAAATGCGACGTTCTGAAAAGGCCATTTTCGTTTATAAGCTTAAAGTGAATTTTTTCTTAAATTTTAATTTGTTTACAAGTTATTACAGTTTTTAAGGGCTTTTTCCACTGACAACCATGGGAGCTATGCCGGAGGTAGTTTAACTACCGGTAGGGTCTCCCAAGCCGGACAGGTCCTCGTAGGGTAGGAGCCTGACTAAATGGGATACCACCAAGAGCTAAGTCGGTTCTCTACCTATTCTTTTAGGTGCTCTGGTCCTTGGGACTAACAAAGGCTGCAATTTTTCCCCATCCAAACTGTTTATAATTACTATGTTGATTACGAAAAAAAAAGAGATTCCAAATTCCAAAATGCAAATTCTTAATGTGTAAAAAAGCATTTTTTTGTGATTTTAAAAATCGATGAATAATTAGTTCTATACAGAAAAGAAAATCATGATCCTTTAAATCCTTTTAAATCCTATTTTCTTCCAGTGAATGATTAATACTTCGTAACATTATTAATTGCTTTAATCATTTCCATAAACACTGAGAAAAAAAGTTTCAGATCAAAGCAACCAGAATATGGTAAAAATTAATAAATAATAGAATTAATTTTTAATTTAACAGTAAAACAGGATTTGATGAAATATAATAAAATTTGGTAAATGTGGTAAGATTCAGCAATTTTATTATGATACCTTAGAGCATGGCATAAAAGCCAATTTTTCGGCTAAACTTAATTTTCATTATTGTAATTTCTACGAAATGTGTTAATAAGAACTATAATTTTAGAAACCAGAAGTTTCGATAAACCGTTACCATATGAACGGAAAAATTACCAAATTATCAGCCTTTAATTCCGTATATTTTTGTTTGGGTAATTAGAACTATGGCTTTTCTTAACAGAATTTTTTTTAACGGTTACCATACAGTGCGATGATTTACTAGATTTTTTTCTACATTTACCTACAGTTTGAAAAAATTTCCTCTGAGATTATAGTCAGTAATCGGCAAAAGGCTATCCAATCAGTGACTGCAAATGAATACATTTTTTAATAAGTCTTGTAAAGAATTTTTAAGTTAATATGTATGTTTTCATTAAATATGTATGTTTTCATTATTAAATAGCGATATTTTTGCAGTAAAAAGAGCTGTGACGATGAAAATGAGGGAGAAAAGGTCATAAAGCAATCTTTTACACCAAAATGGAGTGTAAGTATTATATATTTTAGGAAAATAAAATTAAATAAATGCATTGTAAAACACAGAACTGCGCAATACTTTTGCTTTTTTGAATAAGATTTAAGATAAAGTACTTATGCCGGATTTCAAACTTTACGTAAATACTAATACAGATATTTTAAATTTTACGTGAGCTTGAAATAACTATAACCTTATATATTGAGCAGTTTCAACTTCTAATTTCATACTTTTCAATTTTCTGTAAATGCAATTTTAAATATAGTCAATAATTAATATAGCTCTCGTAAAATGTTGACTGACTAAAATTCGTCTTTTAGTGATTATTTTCTGTTGTTTAATGATCAGGGAAATTTTTTTTGAATTTAAATATTCGTTTGCTTACATGTTGAGAAAAATCAGATTTATGAAAGCTTCTTGGAATTTTCTGGGTTAAATAAAGGCAATTAAACGTATTTCCTAAACTTAAGCGTAACTCGCGAGTTAATTACGTTTGGAACTTAGTGTTTAAAATTGCTGGAATATGAAAGTTAACTTTCAAATTTTCTTTAATTTTTCTTAGGGAAATATTTATCGTCTGCAAAAATGTAAAATAAATTAAGTAATATTTTTTTTCAATGGAATTTTTTTTTATTCAATTCGTTTTCAATTGATTTTGAGACGGGAGATACAAATTTTAACTTATCAAAGACAGGGGTTGGTGAGTGGGGAGAGCAGTGATTCGATCTTTGAAAATTGTGATATATTAGTTTTTTTTAGTACAAACCACAGTATCGACAAAAACTATTTTGCCAGTAATAAGTGGATCAAAACTAGGAATAACATTTTCTTAGGGGGTATACTTGAGAGATTTGTTGTGTGTGTATACATATAAATCAGCTTGAATTGCACATAATTAAGTGGGTAATTGATTAAACGCTCATAAAACTTGTCAAAACTTTAGACTTTTAATAATGGTTGTTAATCAATTTTGAAACAAGGAATGCGAGATGAGGCTATTAGGTACATTGCGAGATAAATTAAAATTTTCTATTGTAGTGAAAAGTGATTAACGACGCAATTGAATAAGGCAATAATGATTTATATATCTATTCAAAGTGTTGCCAATCTGTCTTCTAAAAGAATAATATAGCATTAGAAAGGGTCGAGTAGAAAAAAAAGACTATGATGGATCTTTAAAACATCTGGAAGTCGTTATCTTCGCACATTTAAGAAGTGTAATTAGAATTTGTTTGTATCAAGGACAGTATGAAAAAGAAATATTGTGAACATAATTCATTAAAAAATATCTTATTTGACTAAATTACTTGCATGTTTCACAATTGTTTGTAAAATTTTTAATATACATATGTCCAACTGTTTTTTGTTTGTTTATGGATTTTAGGTACCACTCCTATTTGTGAAGGTTTAAACTTTCTTCTTTCATTAAAAATATCTTTCTTTTAGCATGGCTTAAAACATTTGTAATGAGTTGTTGGATTGAAAGTGTTTAAAAAAATAAATTAGTTAAAAATAATTATTTCGTTAAAAAGGTTTTATGAATTATTAAAAAAAATCGAAAAACTTTTTTTCATTTTTCAAATTTTTTTCAAAAATTTTCCAAAAATTACAATTTTGTTATTCTTATGGGCTTACTAAAAATGATCAAGCGCGTAAAGTGAATAACGGTTCTTGCTATTTCTTTAACGTTTGTAATTTTGGATGAGAATAAATATATAACTTTTTTATGGACTTAAATTTCTGCAATTTCTGCAATTAAAAAGTTTGACATAAAAACATAATAATTCAAATATATTATTCTATCGATATTATTAATTAATTGAATATGTTTCTTTAACGTAAATTAATATTTAATTGAAATAAAAACTAAATCGCCATTGAGGAAGATGGTGTACCGAATTTTAAATCCTGTTTAATTGCAAAATGATACTTGAAGGTGATAATAGTCTTCTTTTAACTTTTCTTTTCCCTCAATCAAATACGTTTTGATGATTTATTCGATAAAGCTTTGTTGTTGTTGTTGTAGTTCATTTACGTCACACTAGAGCTGCACAATGGGCTATTGGCGACGGTCTGGGAAACATCCCTGAGGATGATCCGAAGACATGCCATCACAATTTTGATCCTCTGCAGAGGGGATGGCACCCCCGCTTCGGTAGCCCGACGACCTGCACGCTAAGTCGAGCACTTTACGGTTGCACAGTTTAACGTGGACCCATACAGCACACCCTCGGTCCCTACGCAGACTGATCCAAGTGGTCACCCACCCGCACAATGACCGCAGCCAGTGATGCTTGACTTCTGTGATCTGCTGGGAACCGTGTCTTAACGATCAGTCTACTGCGGGACTCGATAATGCTTTGATAATCATTATTATGCTGAGGTTTTGAAATCCCTCAGTTGGCGTAGTGGCAGGGACGGATTAAGCGTACGGGGGCCCTAGGCCTTTCAAATTGGGGGGGCCTTTAGATTAAATTTTTTTTCTCGTATATTTTTTATTTACTTAAATATAAAAGTATTTATATATCTTTTCATTTAAGAAAACATATTTAAAATTAAAATAAATAATAATAAATTAAATTTTACTTTATTTTGTTAAATTAGAACTAAAAAATAATCATAACATTTTAAAAAAAATTATGTAAATATGTAAAATAAAATATGTAAAGCATAATGCTACAATTATGTAATACATTATGTAAAAACATTAAACGTATTTCATTAATATACATTTGAAATTGACTTTTTTTAAAAAAAAATAATTGTTTTTCTTATTATTTTAAATTTATTTTCAAAATTTTTTTTAAGGGGCCCCTAATCATTTGGGGCCTTAGGCCATGGCCTAGTCTGGCGAATGGGTAATCCGGACTGTGTAGTGGATTGAGTTTTCCCTTACAACGGCTTGGCCCGAGGTTCGATTCTCCATGTTAAAAGCTGTATGCCTGATTGGCCTTCATTTTCTTCTATCGGGTCTTAGTAGTTTGGAATCCACTCCAATGTAATGACACTGGTTTGATAAGAGGCAGAAATAATCAACGCTTGGCTGAGCGGTTAGGAAGAAAATTGCCGAGACCTCGTGATTACTACCATCCACCATTCCCTAATTGAAAAAGTGATTGCGTAATGGAAGCATGCGCTAGTATCATCTTCGTGTCTTCATTAAGAGGACGCCATTTCCGTTTCAAATTCTCTTTTCTCTCCATAAGTAATATAAAATTTATAATACAGAAAAAGTGAGTTCAGACTAACCTAGAATCAGCCTCGATGCCTCAAATACTGAAAAAAAAATTTCAAAATATCAAAAGGAAAAAAAATATGACTCAGGCTTGCGTAGCTGGGAAATTCTTTTCCGATAATTTGCTTGAATTTTGATATTTTCTAAATTTTTTCAGCATTTAAAACTTTATGGCTCACTCTAGGTTTGTTTGACTCACTATTTCTATACTTTAATTTAGTTATGGAGGCAAGAGCGATTTTGCGACGAAACTTTTTTCCAGTGGTGTAGCGGCGTCCCCTTAAGAATTAATCCCAGACCAGCAGCCCAAAACAGCGACATTAACTATCAAACTGCAGATTTTTTTGCACATTTTATAGGATTTCTAACCTGCGATAAGAAATTATTAAATAATTTTTTTGGCTATAGCTTCTGTTTGTTTTTCAGATCGATGCTAAAAATGGAGTACACTTGTGGTGCCGATCTCAAGCTTCAGGAGATCAGTGTTACGTTTCTAGTGATATTTGTGTAGTAAGTGAAAAGTTTATGTCAACATGTAACGTTACTTTGCTAAAAAGTTCTTTTCACACCCAAAAATTTTGCCATTAAAAATTTTCCTAAATTAAAAATGCTTTTCTACGATTGATGTCAAGACAAGATTCACAAAACTACTTCCCTTACAATGATTCTTCGATCGATCAAATCTTGTTATCATGCAGGTTATCCTGCGTGATAGCGATTATCATGCAGGTTTTATGTAGGATATCTTGCATGGTAACGAAAGATAGCACCATGATAGCAGGATATCCTGCATGATATCATGGAATAAACTTCAAGGCTGTGGTTATCACACTTATGAAGCTTTCGAGCTCTCGTGTCTTTTTCATATTCTACCGAAGTAACTACCAATTTTTTAAATAAGAAAAATCTTACATTTAGTTTATTAGTTCAGCGCAAGAATCAAGGTTAGTTAGTCAACCGGAGCGTTACGCTATATACCCAAAACTTCTTCGCAAGCTAATAGTATTTCTCGATTGAAGGTTCGGCGATCAGTACCGTCTTTAATCATGGGCACACCTGGGCATTTCCCCGGGGTCCCAGGCACTCAAGGGGCCCTTGAGAATCTTACTTTTTATAAATTGTGTTCAAAGAATAAACAATATATATATTCTAAAATAAATATATTTATTATTTATTTTAGCCTTATATATTTTCTAAAATAAATATATTCTATTATATAAAGTGTGCATTTTTTTCTACAAATAGTGATCAATTATCATGCAAACACCAATAATTTGAATAGTTTATCAACAAGAAAACTTAAAAAAGCAATTGAAATCCATTTTTCAACGTTCCAATGAACATTTTATGTACTTGGGCATTGAAAGATGTTTTAATAACTATTTAGTGTGACAAAATAATTCATATCTTTTGAATTTATTTTAATTTGTTATACCTTTATGTCCATTTAATTTAATTTCATTACATGAATTAACTTCCATAATTTTGAAAATTACTTTATTATTTGAGGATTACAACAGCTTAGCATCTTATATATTTTTTTAAAAATTATACATAGTTTAAAAAATTTTTATTCGAGTTTTTGAGGTGATCAAAAATAGTCTAAATTTGTTGAAATTATTGCATCATATCTTAAAAATTATTTACTTTATGTAAAGTATTTTAGTTCGTTTTTAAACATTATGGTATGTTCTAGGGGTCTAGAACATTTTTGTGCTGCCCGGGGGCCCTGTATGCTATTAAGACGGCCCTGTCGGCGTTCAATGGATTAAAGGTAAATAGAATACAACATGAGAATTAAGGATTTTATGGCGAATCCATGATTAGAACTATCATCAACGATATTTGGAGGGCGTATTTTTCATTATGAATTAGCTATTATTTTATTTTGATTTGTTTTTGAATCAGCAATTTTATTTATCAGAACTATCTTAATTGTATGTAATTTTTATTTTTTTGAATGGTTATTGACGAAAGCATTCAAATAGGCACAGAAATCGAATTTTAAATTCGTGATATAAAACTGAAAGATGCAACTGTTTTTTAGAAAAAAATGTAATTTCGTTACCTAAACTACAATTTTATTTTTAATAATTTAAACAAAACGGGCCGAAACAAAACTTCGAGTCAAAAAATACAAATTTCAAAAGTAAATAAAGTTTTAAGATTGTTATGAGTGTTGAGAATAGTCATACTTTCAATTTCAAAAATTTTATATTTTTTGTTAAATTAGAAATGAAAAACTGCTCACTTTTAAGCATTTAAGTGCTTTGTTTTGTTTCAGTTCTAATTTATTACTAGCATACCCTATAGTTAGATACTAAAATTGACAGAAAAACTGATTCAACGTTGAGCCATAATATTTAAAAACTATAACAATGAGCAAATTTCTTGTAACCTAAAAGCGATGTTAAAGTAAAGCATTGTAACGTCACCTTGAGCCATAATACGGAGAAAGTTTGCAGCAATCTGAATAAGATGTTTAATTCATTAATTCATATGCTTAATTCATATGTCTGAATTAAATGTTTAATTCATAATGTTATAATCTTTGTTCATTCGATAAGGGAAGCGAATTTTCTGCAATTTGATTAAAGAGCTTAATTCAACCATCATACAAAGCAATTTTTCTGCAACCTGAGTGAAATGTTTAATTCTACCAGAAGGGAGCAATTTTGTTGCAACCGGAATGAGGTTTTAAATTGAAACAAAACACTGATACTTTCAGCCATAATAGGGTGGAAGTTTCCCGCAACCAGAATAAGGTGTCTAATTCAACCATAATACGAAGCAAATTTTTTGCAACCTGAATAAGGTGTTTTATTCAACCATAATAGGAAGCAAGCTGAATACTAAACTGAACTAAGCAAAATATTGACACCTTTAGCCGTAATAGCAAACAAGTTTTTCGCAACCGTAATAAGGTATTTAATTCAATCATATTAGGAGCAAGGTAGTTGCAACCTGAGCAAGGTGTTAACTTTAACCATCCACTTTGGACAAAACATAATATCCTAAAGTTATATTTAAAATGTACGATTATGTAGTTCAACGCAGAATTATATTAATACTGCAACAAATATGAAGGATATAATGGTTCTAGGGGAAATTTAAACGATATAATGGTTCACCAAGCTTTAAAACTTCTAACAGTGTATACACATTTTATACACTCTTTATTTTTTTCTTGAAAGTCATGAACAATTCAAATTTTTTTTCTGTAAATATTTTTGTGACAATGGCAACAGATGATGGCAGTAAGCAGGCAATTGGCCAACTTCCTTACAAACAGTTTATCGAACAATGGATGCCAACAATTAAAAATTTTACTTGCACTGGCACTACATTTTATCTTTAATGACACAACATCATGCCAAAATTTTTATTTTACTGCTTCTTTAATTAAATCCTGATCACATAAGTCTTAATGGCTCTTGTATCTAAAGATGATTCTACGGGGAAAAAAATAGATTCAAGATGAGTTCAATAAAAAAAAAACTTGCTACTTGAAATTTCACAAAAAAATCAACAACAAAAAATCATAAACCATCAAAGAGTATTGCAAAAGGGTTATTTTACTGCATGAGTTTCTTAACAAATCTAAAAAAGAAAGTAATCCTTTAAATACTTTTGTTTCTGTGGGTGGTTAAAAGAAGCAGAAGTAGTAGTCCATACATTCTTAATATTTTTTACCCTTCGAAAAAAAATGTGGTCAAAACTACGAGAATAAAATAAAGTTAACCTTGTTTCTGGCTCTATGGAAGCACCAAAAAGCAAGGTATTTTTTCCCGAAGGGCTTTGCCAACGTTTAGTAAATATTATATCCTAATATATGATAAAATTTGGTGAATGTGGTAAAGTAATTTGGTAATTCTACTATGATACCTTAGAGCTTGGCATAAGAACAATTTATCGATTAAATTTACATTTTAGTTTTGTGTTTTTTATTAAATAAATGGCAATAAGAACTATAATTTTGAAAACACCAGAATTTCAGGTAAACCATTAGCACATGAACGAAAAATCATTAAATGAATGGTTTAAACACTATATATTTTGAATTTTTTATTCAAAATTATAATTTTTTTAAATCGGAATTGTCATTACCATTCAGTGCGGTAATTTAAAAGAATATTTCCTTCTTGCACATATTTGTCGTACTAGTTAGTTCACAGGGTAATGAGGAAAAAATAAATAATTCTTTTTTTTTTAAGATGGAAAACACATTACCACTTAACACACTAAACGTAGCAGAGATGCCAACTTGCTCCAGACAGCGAATAAATATTTTCGAGCGGTAGTTCATTAATTGTGATTCTAGGTTTAATAAATTCAATTTATTAGGTTTTTATCTACCTCTATTTTTAAATAATTAAAAAGCTTATATAATTCACTACTTTGTTGTTGTTAAGTCATGCTAAACCTTTTAAAAAATAAGCAAAATTAGTCAAATATTTGCAAATTTTATCTTGCAGTTATTTGCCGTTTTTTAAATTATTTTGGTTTGTTCGGCGCAGTTGGCATCTCTGACGTAGTTTATAAAATATTAATTTCTTTCTTTTTTCATCTTTTAAAAGCCTATCGATTTAAATGAACAGTGTTAGAGGCAGAAAGTAGACATACGACCGCAAAGAATTAAAAAAATAAATGATTGAGAACTGTTTTTTCGTTGATTTTAAATGTATGATCGATAAATTAAAATTGAATATAAATTATCGTTGAGTTAGAACGATAATTGAAATTGAATATGGTTCTCGAGAATAAAGAAGCATTACTCGGCAAATCTTCAAAATTGGCCTGGTTCCGGTATCCGGTACTAAAATTCCTTAGCACAGTACAGGTGACAAAAACTTGATCGACCCGCGACATCCCTAGTAATTATTATGCATTCTTAAAACCACTTCTATTGCTGGAAAATAATTGGAATTTGCAATGGATCAGCCTAAAGATTGCTGGGAAGCCTTTTTTTAAATCCAGTTCCTAACAAAGTTAGTATTTTTACGAGCATAGTTATTGCTGAAAAAAATCCACTGCAATTTACAACGCATTAGCATAAGTATTACAGGGAAGAATATTTTTACTCCAGTTCCTAGCGAAGTTAACATTCTTGAAATCATACTTATTGCTGAAAGAATTCCCTGTAATTTAAAACGCATTAGCATAAGTACTGCAGGGAAAAAATTCTCATTTTCAGTTCCTAACGAAGTTAACATTCTTAAAAGCATGCTGAGAAAATCCACTAGAACTTGCAAAGCGTTAGCATAAGTATTAGAGGGAAGAATTTTTTAATTCCAGTTCCTAACGATCTTAGAAGCATAGCTATTGCTGAAAAATTCCACTGAAATTTACAACGCATTAGCATAAATATTGCAGGGAAGAATTTTTTAATTTCAGTTCTTCCTAACGAAGGTAGCATTCTTAAAATCGTATTTATTGCTGAAAAAATCCACTGGAATTTACAACGCAGTAGCATAAATATTACAGGGAAGAATTTTTTAATTTCAGTTCTTCCAAACGAAGGTAGCATTTTTAAAATCGTATTTATTGCTTAAAAAATCCACTAAAATTTACAACACATTAGCATAAATATTGCACGGAAATTTTTTTTAATTTTAGTTCTTCCTAACGAAGGTAGCATTCTTAAAATCGTATTTATTGCTGAAAAAATCCACTGGAATTTACAACGCATTAACCTAAGTATTGCTGGGAAGCCTTTTTTAAATCCAGTTCCTTACAAAGTTAACATTTTTAAGAGCATAGTTATTACTGAAAAAATCCCCTGTAATTTACAACGCATTAGCATAAGTATTACAGGTGAGAATATTTTTATTCCAGTTCCTAGCGAAGTTAACATTCTTGAAATCATATTTATTGCTAAAAAAATTCCCTGGAATTTAAAGCGCATTAGTATAAGTATTGCGGGGAAGAATTTTTTATTTCCAGTTCCTAACGAAGTTAACATTCTTAAAAGCATAGTTATTGCTGAAAAAATCCACTAGAACTTGCAAAGCGTTAGCATAAGTATTGCAGGGAAGAACTTTTTAATTCCAGTTCCCATCGATCCTAAAAGCATAGTTATTGCTGAAATTTACAACGCATTAGCATAAATATTGCAGGGAAGAATTTTGTAATTTCAGTTCCTAACAAAGGTAGCATTGTAAAATCATATTTATTGCTGAAAAAATTCACTGGAATTTACAACGTATTAGCATAAATATTGCAGGGAAGAATCTTTTAATTTCAGTTCCTAACGAAGGTAGCATTTTTAAAATCGTATTTATTGCTGAAAAAATCCACTAAAATTTACAACACATTAGCATAAATATTGCACGGAAAAATTTTTTAATTTTAGTTCTTCCTAACGAAGGTAGCATTCTTAAAATCGTATATATTGCTGAAAAAATTCACTGGAATTTACAACGCATTAGCATAAATATTGCAGGGAAGAATTTTTTAATTTCAGTTCCTAAAGAAGGTAGCATTCTTAAAATCGTATTTATTGCTGAAAAAATCCACTGGAATTTACAACGCATTAACGTAAATACTGCTTAGGCGAGATTTTAAGTCTACTATGTAACGAACTGATAAACTGGGGAAAGTTTGTTTTCTTCGGAAATAGTGGCTTGGAAAAAATTCATTACTCCGCCAAACTTTCCCCGTTTAAAATAAATAAACAGGGAGAAAAAAAAAGTCTGAATTGACGAACTTTTTGTCTATCTTGCTTTTTAAAGAGTTGGAACTATTTCCAAGCATCAGAGTAACCTTGTATTTAGT